TAAACCATTGACAGGCTGGCTATTTCGATAAAATTTCTTATTAGTAGAAATGTCTTCACAAGAAATTTTATGGGACACTTTCATATTGACTTGATGTTTTTTTTTTAAATTAATAAATTACCTTGAGTGAAGATATATTTAAAAAATCAAGGCAATGAATAAGCTATATTAACACCAATCTCTTAAAATTAAAATGTGTAGTTATTTCAAAATGCTATAAAATGGTTCTATAAAAAGAAGTGTTCAATATGAAATGGTAGAGCAGAGAAGCATTGAGGTTTCCTGTTTGGCACAGAAATATGAGATCCTTTTTTTTTTAATTAGTATTACAAACTAATTATAAGATTTAAATGAGTTAAAACTGATTATTTCGGTAATTTTGAGCTATTATAATTAAGAATTAACTAATTTTAGAATGTTTTAGTCAGATTATTATTATTATTATTATATATATATATATATATATATATTATGACACAATTAATTAAGTGTGTGCCTATACACACACACACTCAAAAAGGTTTGGGATAGCTATAATATTTTTTCCATGCCATATGTTTTTTTTTTTCCTGTTTGTTCTTTTTTGTCTTATATTTTTTTCATTTTTTTGGGTTTTACATGTTTTTTTTTCTAAGATTGTCTTCTTTATTCTTTTTTTATGTTTTTTTAAATTATTTTTGTTGATTTTTTTAATATTGAATTGGTTGAAAATTTTATTTTGTAGTTTTTTTCTTTAAAATATTATGAATTACTACAATGTTTCTCTACATAGTTTTTTTCCCTCTTTTTTTTATCAATTTTTTTCTTCTTTTGTTTCTGAAATGGTTTTTGCTAATTTTACTTCGTAGTTTTTTCTTTAAAACACTATAGATTATTACAATATTTTTCCATATGATTTTTTTTTGTTATAGTATTTCCATAAATGTTTTTTTTCAAATTTATCTTCATTGATTTTTTTTAATATTGAGCTGGTTGAGAATTCAGCTTCAACTATCCCCACTTGTTTTCTTTTTGCCATTTTTTTTTGCTTTGTTTTTAATTTTTTTTTGTTTTTTAGAATTATTTTTGTTGATTCTATTATTTAGAGCATGTTGAAAATTTAGTTTTGTAGTTTTTTTCTTTAAAATAATGTGGATTGCTATAGTGTTTCCTTATATAGTTTTTTTTTTGTTTTTTTATGATTTGTTTTTTTTCCAGAATTATCTTTGTCGATTTAATATTTTTTCATATTGAGCTGGTTGATAATTTAGTTTCCTAGTTTTTTTTAAAACACTGTGGATTACTACAGTATTTTTCCATATGATTTTTTTAATTATCTTTGTCGATTTTATTATTTTTAATATTGAGTTAATTGAGAATTACAATTTTAGATTTTTTCATGAAATACTATAAATTACTACAGTATTTCCCTGTATAATTTTTTTTTCTTTTATTTTTTTGTTATTATTTTTTTTAAAATTTTTTTTGTTTATTTTATTTTTTAAATATTAATCTAGTTAAGAATTTAACTTTATAGTTTTTTTAAAAAATATTGTGAATTATAATAATGTTTTTTCATTTTGTTTTTCACAAATTCATGGCAACACACAAATATGCCACAAGCCTGCAACATCATGCAACATCATACGGGCATGGCATTTTTAGTGTGTATATATATATATAATAAAGTGTGATATGACCCTATGTCACTTTTAGTCTATTAACTCTAGGTGGCATAATAATTAACTTAATCCTTAATTAGAGAAAAATTTCCATCAAATCTTATCATTAGTTTGTATTTTTAACAATAAAGCATTAAAAATAGTAGATGATGCTCTATCATATCATAACCTTTATATAAATATATTTTTATCTCATAATTCATTTTTTTTTACCATTTTTTAATATATTTACAAAAAAATAAAAATAAAAAAGATTATATTTCATAATATAGAGATTCAAGAAAAACTAAAAAAAAAAATTATAGGAAGAGATCCATCCAAGTTCTAGTAGTTTTCGATCGATGGTTGTACCTCTCAAAAAAGTCATTTTTAAATGCCATTGAATTTTTAGTTATTTTGAATATTTTTTTTTATAGAATTATCAATTTTGTGTGTATATTTGAAGTGTTGACGTCCTACACTACTAAACTTAATAGTTTTACAGATGAAAAGTTTTTTCAGTATTTATACTAACAATTTATTTGTGATTATTTTATTGATGGGATCATGGAAAAAAAGCATCTGTTGAAAAAAATACTCATCGGTAATTTTTGG